AAAAAAAAGGTTTTTTTTCCAGTCAGCATGGAAAAATTTTTCCCACCGTTATGGGAAAAAATTTTCATTAAAAAGTCGGAAAAGGCACACGTGTGGAGGAAAGAAGGAAAATATTTTCCGTGAAAAATTTCGCCTATCAAACAGTCAAAAAAGTGAAAAGTGGAAAGTGGAAAATATTTTCCTAGTTTCCTGGAAAATTTGGTGTATCAAACAGGGCCTAAGTGATTTAGAATCAATTGAAATTTAAACCAAGAAATTAGAAGAAAACTGAAGAAAATAGGAAGAAGAAGAAGCAGTAGAAAAGAGGAAGAAAGAAGGAGAAGGAAGAAGAAACGTGGCAGCTGTCAATCTTAATTTTCATTCAATCATTCACCGAAGTCAATTACAATGAAAATCCAATAAATAGCACAAAATAACTTAATTTAAGGGTTTGGGCCAACCCGCTAAAACAAGCCAAATAATATGAAACACAAATAATAAAATCCAATAACAATAAAATAAATATCGATGATATCTTAATGATATCCGTATCACTAAGACTTATCAAGAAGCCATTAGTTGTCAGTTATCAAAAAGCTGGCAAACTGCTATGGAAGAGGAAATGACTTTCCTACTTAAAAATGAGACCTGAGATTAGTTCCAGGGCCTGCAAGTAAGTCCTTAGTAGGCTGCAAATGGATTTATAGGCTTAAGGAGGGAAATACTATTAAGCAACCTCTTAGGTTTAAAGTAAGATTTGTAATTGTGGGTTTTACACAGAAACGTAGTATTGATTATAATAAGATCTTTTCCCTTGTAGTAAAATACATTACTATAAGAATAATATTTACATTGGTTGCTCATTATGATTTAAAACTTGAAGAAATTAATATTAAAACTGATTTTAGATAATGGTAAACCTAAGTGTGGGAGATTGTTAAAAAGGTCATTATATGGATTAAAATAATCACCTAGATAATGGTACAAAAGAATTGATAATTTTGTTGCATCTACTGATTTCATTAGAAGTGATTTTGATCATTATCTGTAGTTTAAGAAAAATAGTGAGAATTCTATGATTGTTTATCTGTTCCTTTATATAGATGATATGTTGTTAATTGGACTTAATATGTATGACATTAGTGACATTAAAGATTTAGAGCATGCAAAAAGAATATCTAGCATGGATATTATAAGAAATAGATCCAAACACTCGTTAATTTTGAATCAAACATCTTTTGTGTGACCCCACAACTTGCTTCTCATTTCAAATTAAGTAATGATAAGTATCACATTGATGAGTTAGACATGAGATGCACGAGTAAGGTCTCGTATGCTAATAATGTTATATTTGTAATGTATACCATGGTTTGTAGTTTGTACCATACCACATATTGCTCATGCCACTAGTAAACTTAGAAGGTTCATGATCAATCATGGGTCTTAACACTAGACTGCATTGAGGTATTTGAAGGAATTTTCTAAATTGGGGTTATGCTTTAAATCTTGCAATGAGGGAATTATTCTTAAGGGGTTTGTAGATTATGATTATGTTGGGTACATGGACAATGAAAAATCAACTATAGCATATATTTTTATTTTATGTGGAGCCTGCAATAGTTGTAAATCTCAATTACAATCAATTGTAGCATTGTCAGCTAATATAGGGACTAAGGCACTGCATCTAAACAAGTTCAAATCTTGTTTATAAATTTTGAGAATTAATATTGGGTAAATTTTTTTGTTGCATTACAGGTACTCATTTCCTTGATGCTGGTGATGAAGTGAAGATGACCCTAAAATTATAGTGATCTTTACATTAAGCTGTCTATTTATACCATTTGCATCAAAGTGGAGATATGTTGGGCTGTGTGCAAATCGTCCATTACTGAGGGCAATTATAAAAAATATTCACGATTTGATAGAGTCTTGACGTCTAACAGAACACCCCACAAGAAATTTTCACTATGGATTAAATAATATATTCTTCCCTTTCAAATTGCGAGGGAAAAATCCTAAACGATTAGACGTAATTTCAACGGCCATTTCACATCAAATAGAATGGACACGCCTCTTTGGCGCGAGACAGCAATAGAAAAAAAGAATTTCTTGAAAACTTGAACGCACAAATTAAAGAACAGTAAAACCAAAATATATTCAAATTTCGTTTCTGGGATTCTTAAACGCTCTGCGATAATGGATGAAAACAGCAATCGGAAACTTCAATCTGATTGGTACTCTCGAACTCGCCTCCACAACAGTCCTGTGGAGTATGATTTTCCAGTACGTAATACTGAAAATTTTCTTGATTTTCTGAAGGCATTTTTTTATTTCTCCTTGGATTGTTGATTAATTTTATTTTTTTTTTTATTTTTTGTTATTTTTTTGAAGGGAGATAGATTTATACCGGATAGGAGCCTGATGGATCTTGATCAAGCCCACAGTTTGTTAACAACTCCGACTCAAAAACCCAGCAAACCCAAGTTTAAAGTCAGTCGATTATTTTTTATTTTGATTTCTTGAGTTTTCTATTTGGAACCCCTTTTTTCTTGAATTATTTTTGTGGGGGTTTTGTGTTCTTGGAGGTTTGATTGCCGTTCAATAAAGGATGTATATATAATGTGTAATAAAATTATAAACGATGCTTTATATCAGGGCCTTGGGGTTTTCTTTGATCTTGTTTAGAGATATTTTAATCATTATTGAGAATAGGGATTTCTGATATGGGGATTTTTCTTGTATGGATTACATGGTAGGTTGAATATAGAAGAAAGCTAGAAAATAATCTGAAGTTGGATGTTGAAGGAAGGCCATTTCAAATGCTGGTTTTTAGGGGTAGCCCAAAATCGAGTAGAAAATCAAACCGGCTAATAGACGAGATGCAACGGAGTAATGAGGAGATCTTGACTCATAAGCCATGTCGACAATTCCCAAAGGTAAAAGATTTGTAGAATATACATTTGGCTTTCCTTTGTAATTATAATTTTTTCTCTGTCATATGCAACGTCTAAAAAAATTTTGGTCTGCTTTCGTTTGATTTTGGTAAGTTGATGGAGTCAGTTCTTGTTTGGTAAAGCAAAATTTGAAATAAGACACTGAATTGTTGGATTGTACTCCTCCCCTCGACGACCTAAAGTTTCTACAGTACAAAGGATTTATTAGGGAGCCATTTTCTTGTAAGATATAAACTGAGAGGCATGAGAAGATGTTGTGTCATTCTTCTCTATTTTAGTGAAAATGTTAAAATTTGCAGCATCGAGTAAACATAGATCTCTTATTGATGAACCACTATGTTTCTGTGTGTGCTTTATCATTTCTGGTTGTTTTCTGTTTATTATTGCTCTAAGAGGTAGGACTAGTGCTTAAATCCATAACTTGAATAACATTTGGCATACATGAGGCTGCTTCATAGATAACTTAGATCCTAGAATGTTAAATGCACAGTTCTAATCCTGGTATGCTATGTTTCGTAGGTCTTGTCAACAAAAGTATTCACATACAACATGGAAATCGCCATTGCGAATAATATTTGGCAAGAAGAAAATGCATTTAGAAACATAAAAGATATCTATAAAGAGATCAAGCAGACTTATTTGTTAATTACAATGTTTTAATAATCTCTTAAATGTCCTCATGGTAGACTCTTCGCAGAGAGAATCTTGTATTTTGGATGCACCTAATATCGTGAACCATTTCTACCTGAACATCATGGACTGGGGGAAAGCCAACTTTCTTGCAATTGCTTTGGGCTCAAAATTATACTTGTGGAATGCTGATAATCGAAAAACTGAATTATTGTCAGAAGTGGGCAATGGTGACGATTATCCTACTGGTGTAGCCTGGTTGGAAGATGCCCAAACAGTAGCAGCTGGATACCAGTGCTCGAAAATATATCTTTGGGATGCCGAGACCCTAAAGATTGTATGACCTTTCAGTCTGACATTTTACATGATCTGATTTGTTAGAGAATGTTTGTCTAGGCTTAAAAAGAAGTAAACAAGTTACTTTTGTTTCAAAAAAACTCGTTTGCATATGTTAATTATATTCTCAATTTAAATAAAATAAAGTTATTCATTTCATTATAAGGGAACATTTTAAGCTTAGCCAAACATGGTCAAATCATTCTTTCATACAAGTCATAAACTCTTTATACAGGTTAGATGCCTTACAGGGCATCAGAATAGGGTGGGTTCTGTTGCATGGAATGGCCAGATTTTGACTTCTGAAAGCAGTGATAATGCTATCATGAATCACGATCATTTCTCGCTACTATAATCCAAATAGTAAACATAAGAGTGTACCATTTATTCCTGGAATTTTTGTTTCACAGTGAGAGCAGGGAACAGTTTGACGTGTTGTATGGAAGTGCACACTAATGAAGTTTGCGGTTTGAAATGGTCGAACACAGGAAACAGACTAGCGAGTGGAGGTAATGACAACCTCATTCACATATGGGATGCACGCAAGATGGTTGCCATGCAATACATGTATCGCCTCATGATCATTGTGCTGCAGTGAAGGCCCTTGCCTGGTGTCCATATAACTATGATGTGCTTGCCTCTGGAGGAGGCACAGATGATGGTTCTTGATAAGTGTATTTTCTACACTTATTCAGGGCTTAAAACTATAGAATTTTATTGATTTTTTGACAAAATTTTACATAATTTATGTTATATTACATTGTGTAGGTAAAACTTTATATTTGATGAAGAATTGGAGAAAAGAAGCAAAATATGGTGAAAATGGTAAAATCCAAAGTTCGAGGATCAAATTACAAATACTCAAGAAGATACTTTGAAGACTGTTAGGAGACAATTGGATTGAAATTAGAATTCAAAAAGGAATGGAATATGATCAAAATATTATCAAAATCAATTTTCAATCGCTCAAAATATATTCCAGAATTTTAGCCGAATATTGAGACCCATTTTTGGCATAGTAAACGTCCGAATTGGAAAAACTCTATTTCAATCAAAATTGTAGCCCTTTAAGTTATATTTCCAACGCACTTTGAATTGCATCAATCGGATATCAGAAGAGAAAGTTATGACAAAAATACGGACTGCTGTGCAGAGACAAAAAATCCGCGCGAAGGCAACTTTCCTTATTCGATTAGAACTCTTTTGGAAACCAATTTGGACGTGATTTTCAACCAATTTTCGGCTCCTATAAAGAGAGAACAACAGAATACATATGGGAGACCTCCCTAGACCTAAAAATCTCTATATTATACATATTTTGGAGGCAAAGAACGTGGCTAGCAACGTGGAATCAAGGCGAATTGCATAGGATATTGAAAATTCTTCATCCGGATTCAAGTTTCACATCAAGAACGTAGATTTTTCCAACTTCTTCCATCTTTCTTATTTCCGGGTGATATTTTCCCAATTATTCTTGTATAATTTAATTTCTACAATATGCTAGGCTAAATTCCCTTGTATTGGATGGATGATGAAGCTAATTAATTTTTAGTTTTTAATTCGATATCATGTGCTTTTAATTTAATTCTTGCATTGTGATTTCATAAACATATATGAATTTATTGTTTTTAATGTTTGCGCACCATTATGACAATTAGTTGCTTATTCGTAGTGTTGGAAAACTCACGGTAGGTAGAACACTGTTTATGGAACACACGGATAATAAATATTAGGAATAATATTTATGGCGTGTGCGGTCATGTGTGATAATCCTAAACGTCAATGCTTGCTTGTCATATGAATTTGGACTAGGAATAGGATCGTCTCGTGGCAATCATAGATTTATTATACTTGGGAAAGAATAGTAAATGAAAGTGGAATTATCGATCGTTGCAATTGCATGAATCGAATTAATTATCACTGATTGAAAATTGAAATTAAGAATTGATTAGTGGAGTCGGAAATCCAATACACTCATCCACATTTGATTTAAAACCATTTTTTTTATTATTTTCGTAGTTATAGAACGTAGTCAACTAAAAATCAACCATCTTTTGTTACATTTGCAAATTTAAATATATCGAATACTCTAAAATTGAGCCTTATTCCCTGTGGGACGATAACTCACTCATCACAATTATTACTTGTACAACGAACTCGTACGCTTGCGAGATTTTCGCCTAACAGTTCTCTAAAGATATGGAATATACAAAAGGGTACATGCATTAACAGCATTGACACAAAAGCACAGGCAAGTTAGACATTTTACACAGTGTTCACAACCTTGTTATAAGTGCACTGGTACACAGTGTTCTCAAATTTTGTTGGACTTTGTGGAGCCTGATGATACTTTGGACTCATCCTGTCAACTGCAGATCTAGTTTCAGGGGTATACTGGTATTCCTCCATACATGTATTAGGTCAGCCTCATATTCCTACTATGTAAAGGATTTTAGGACGCCCTTGTTATGGTGTGAGATGTGCTACATCACTTGTAATGTTCTTCCTCAATATAGTGAAACCCTATATTAACAAAGTGAATGTTACTCTGACACTGAGGGTGAACCACTAAAAATTCTCGCGTGTGCTTTGTTTCTTTTGTGATTGATTGTGTTTGTTTATTATGCTCTCAAAACCAAGGTTTGGGCTTAATCTGTAAAATTGTATTTTTTCTGACTAAAATTATTTGATGTTATAAGAAAAGATTAGTGGGTTGCAATGGAACAAGCATCATCAAGAGATATTAAGTGGTCACGACTTTGGCTACGAGTGTCAAAACCAGTTGTGTTTGTGGAAGTACCCTTCAATGTGTAAAATTGGTGGGTCGATGAATCATACATCAAGAGTTCTCCATTTATCCCAGGTCTGACTTAATATTTCAAACATTGAGATAAATTTAACTTTGGTTTCTTTCTTAGCATTGGAGTGTAGTATTAGAACGTTCTAAAACTTTCATTCATCTGATTTATATGTTATAGAGCCCAGATGGACTAACCGTGGAGTCTGTTGGAGTGGATGAGACTCTTCGCTTTTGGGAAGTATTTGGCTCGTCCCGGGATGCCAATTCAAGGATTTCACATTTGGATAGTCTGTTGTCTCTCAAAACATCACCTATAAGATGATAGGAAGTGGGAGTGCAGAATTTTTATCCTCGTTTTTGCTAGCAAACAAGTTATTTTTAGAATACACTCAGAATAGTAACTGTACATTTTGACTATTGTATCGTATTTTCGCATAATAGCTTTTGACTTTGAATGAAATTTTGCATAGATTTCAGCCCTCTTTGTAAGGTCCTCCATCCCTTTTCAAAGTGTCGGACATGCTTATTCATTTTGACTATTGTATCGTATTTTCTCATAATAGCTTTTGACTCTTACCTTGCCGGCACTCTTTTAAAATATGACTAAGTATATAACGAAATTTCTTTCTCAGTAGATAAAAGATTTAAGTGTTCATTCTCTATCTAAAGTTTAATGGGACTCCATTTACCTCAATCTGCTGCACTAAGAAAACATGATAATATGCACGAAATTTAGCTGAATGATAAAAATAATATATCTCTCCATTTTCTATCTACCGCACAATCCATTTGATCGACACTCACAATTTAGTTCACGAAAACTAGCCACCATCTTCCCCTCTCACACCTTGTGATGGATTGGCACACAAGTCTGTACTCCATCTTTCTTTGCATTATCCATGGCCGATATCGTTGCTAGGTCGTGCCTTTTGCTCGAATCTTGAAATCTGCATGGTGAGAGATCTCAAACATCATTGAACGCCATTAAGCGCCAGCAAGCGATCTCTAGCAATCTGGATTATGCAATTTGTGTCTATGTGAAAGAAAAAGGGGTCATGGACTGGTGCAATCTGAGTGATGCAATTTGCAATTTGGGTGGAGCGATCTCCAGCAATTTGAGCTGTGTTGTGGTGGAGGTACAAGTAGTGGTGTGGTGGAGGTGTAGGTTGAGGTGATGGTGGATTTGAGGATGTGGTGTTGGTGGTGGTGGTGCGATGATGTCGAAGGCGATGGTGGTAAGGTGGTGTGACCTATTAGGTGGCTCAAGTGGTAGTGAAGTGTAGAGTGTGATAAAGAGCTATAGTGTTCAATTATTTGAATAATTGCAACCAATAAAATGGGTAATTTGTAACCAATAAATAATATCACCTAAAAAATGTATGATTTGAGACTTAATTTATAATTCTAACTCACAATTTGTGTTTTTATTATTGTAGTCTTGTGCGATTTATAACTCATAAATGATGTAATCATAAATTGTGTTAGTGTGACAATTGACCTATTTAATTAATTAATAATTATAAAATTATTGTGGGGTGATCACATTTAGCTCCTATTTGACAAATATTATTTAGGGAAAATAGGGTTTTGAATAGTGACTATTAGAAGAATGTATGATTAAAAAGTATGAAAAAATTTGAATTTATGTGTAGAATATTTTATTATGTAAAAGTGTGGTTGAAAATGTGTACGTAAAAGAAAAAAGTTTGAAAATAATGATTATCAAATGGGGCTTACAATAACTTGATATTTTAAAATTTATTTTGAACCTTTTGTACATGTGTATTTTTCTCTTTAAGCCCCCTTTGGACAATCACTATTTCAAATTTTTTTAATACTCATACTTGTATACTTTTTAATCACGCATTTTTCAAAAAATCACTATTCAAAACTCCTTTCACTCCAAATAATATAATGAAACATGGACTTATAATCTTCACTCACTCTTCGATCTTTAATTTTTTGATGTGAAAATTACAGCAAGCCAGAGTTTTAAGCTTCCAAATTCAAAATTAAGATTTACTTCTTCATTTTTTTTTAAAAAAAAAAAAATCAAATGATGATTGATATTTTAAATATTAATAATTATATTACAAAATATTTAATTCATGTCACCTAACACATACCAAACCTCCCTCACAAAACCGTAATCATTTTCATCATCTCTATTTTCTCACTTCTCTCTCTATCCCACCTTATCTATCTCTCTATTGCAACCACCGAAAGTCACCACTGGAAGCCATTGTAGGAGAGCGCCGTCGACGATACCATTGCGCGATTTGCTGCTACTACGTGTTCCTCCTTCTTACTCCATCGCAGAACTATTTTTTTAATTTCTGAGTCTGGTGGCCAACAGTTTTTGTGTGGTTCGATTGTGGTGTGATACGAGTGAGTTGTGTGTTGTGATTGTGATGTACTGTACTGTGGGTGATGGTGTACGGTGGCAGTGGTGTGCAATGTACAGTGGTGGTAGTGTGCGGTGCGAGATGGAGGTGGTGTGAGGTATGTTGTGCAATGTGCGATGGTGGTGGCGTGCGTTGGGTGAGTGTTTGTGACCGTTTATTTGGGTGGTCATGGTGGTGTAGGCGATTGATTTTGATGGTGATGGATATGGTGTAGATAGCGGTGCAAGCGATGGTGTTCGACGATGGTGGAGATGGCAGTTGTGGTGGTCACGATGGTGCAATTAGTTTGTTTGAGATGGTGGAGTTTGTGGTGTTCATGTAGGTTGTCGTTAGGTGGTGGCGGTTCTAGTGGTGGTGGTGCTGTCGGAGGCAATAGTGAGATGGTGGTAAAAAGATTATTTAGTTGATTGTGATCAATAAATTGATTAATGTGTAATCAATAAATAACGTGTGACCCAAAAATGTGTTAAGTTATGACCAATAATTTGATAATTTGTGACCCATTAATTTGATATTGTGTAAACATTAAATAAGTTGTGACCTATAAAATTTGTAATCGAAAAATAATTTGTGGCCAATTAATTCGATAATTTGTGACCAAATTATTGTTACGTTAATATATTTAACTAATATCTAATTTTTGAAATTTTAAACATTGCTTCTTATTTTTGAAACGAGTCATACTTAATCTCTTAGAAATGAAAAATTTCCTTGAGGTTTTTTGATTGCCTTGGGCCATAGTCGAGCTTGGATTCATAAAATATGTAGTTAATTTTAACTGTTGATTTTTGATTTAAAATTTAATAAGATCGTTTATTTGTAGCTAACATGAATTTAATAATATTTTTAACCGAAAAATCTCAACTTCAAGAAAAGGTACTATACAAAAATAAGATTTCAAAGGTCTACATATGCCAACATATTTAAGTTGAGATGGCACACTTCCAACGGCCACACCAACTTTACTATTCCCTATATAAAGGGTCACACTAGTTCTTCATTTCACATGCAACAAGAAGTTGAATATTATTATTAGAAATTAGAGGTTTTGAAAAAATGTTGGGAAAATGGGTTATGATGCTGGGTTTGATTGCTATAGTAAATACTGGGTGGTGTTTGGCTGGTTTCGATGGTGCACGGCGACCTGACCTGAGTCGATGTAAAGAGGAGAAGAGTGGTTTGATTAGAAATTGCAGGTCAGCAATTTACAGTAGAAATCCGGCTGCTACTTGTCGCCAAATGACAAGAAATGTTCATTTTGAACGAGTTTGTCCTTATGTTACTCCAAAAGTGGCAACTATTATTGAAGTTCAACGTGCGCTGAAACTATTTCAAGATTGTGGGAGGCAAGTTCCTCACAATTTCAAGTGTGGAAGTAAGTATCTTTACAAACTCATGTTTCATCGGGAAGATGTTATGTTTTATCTTTTAACTTATTTACATATATATTACAAATAATTTTAGAGATAAATCTACTTTTTTCTAGGCATGACTACTCCACCGTGAATTCTTCCTATGCGCAAATCAAGAATCTTGAGGCTGTCGCGTCAAGAATTCGAATCCTGAAATATGAATTTAGCCATTGGGTAAGTGCAAGTGTACAATCAGTCTTCCACCATGTACCCTGGAGGCATAACCTACGATTTACCTTCTTCACCAAGCCCCAAGGCAGGGCGGTGGGGGCCGTTAAGGATGCGGCTCATCCTTTTTTTTTTTTTTAACTGTTACTATTGTGACGTCCTAGTGTGGTAGAATAGAGAAAAATAACACCTCTTTACGTGAGGCCTTTTAAGGTGTTTAATGTTTACGTGTTCTCACAAATGTTCTATGTTTATGTGATTGTTGTTTTTTTTAATGATGATTATTATTATTATTATTTATTTTTGTCAAATTCTTTACATTCAATTTTATAGCGTGTACGAAATTAGAAATCTCAATTAGTTTTTTCCAAAACTGAACAGGAGGTACATCATTTTCATAGAAGAGAACCTTATTGTGAAATAAAAAGAGAAAACTATGGAAAGAAGAAAATATATAAATTGGAGGATTATTAAGCCCTCGACTCCCATTAAACCAAAATTCTTTATTTTTCATATTCATTTTTAATCAGATTTACCTAATAAATTTTATGCACGTAAAATCAATACTTCTTCATACTTTTTAATCACGCATTTTTAAAAAATCACTATTCAAAATATTATTTCCCTCAAATTTCTCTTTATACTAGTCATCAAACTATGGCTAAGTAGTATTGAATCAACCACTGCTTGACAAAATGTAATAAGTAAAAGTAGAATTTTTGGCTCAGCTGGACATTTTGTCCATTAATATTTCAGTCGAGCAATCCTTAACACATTGAAAAGTATTTGTTGACACAGTATTCGCAATGAACTTGATCTTCACTTTTGTATCATGTTAATAGTGTTAAGTATACAGAATATAACGTCAATAATATACGTTTTTATCCAGAATTTACAATCATTGTCTATTTTTAAAAATTTACACATTGTAGGAGAATCGCGGGTTATATTATAATTTAAAGGAATAATAGTGGAAAACCCACTAAAAACCTTTCAAATTGAGATATACCCTTATCTATTGGAAATCGCAAAAAAAAAAAAAAAAAAAAAAACTCATATTTGAAATATTTTGTGCGAAAAACCCCCCACCATCCAATTCCGTTAAAAACAGTAAAAATTGCAAAAATTAAAAATGAATAATTAATGTTATGAACTTAAACTGTTTTTTTTTTTTTTAAGAAATTATACCAAAATCTTTTATTTGCACCACCCATATTCCCAAACCTTTAAAATTATCTTCCAGCCCAGCCCAGCCCCACCCCACCCCACCCCAAACTAAACAAAAAATCTACAAAATTCTTCCCTCATTTCTACTCTTCTCTCAAACCCTCTCATATCACACATGCCCAAATGCTCTACCTACGGCAGCGGTGGTGGTTGTGGTGCTGCTTCTAAATGCTAAGAGAGCAAAAACAGTTGACTTAATTCCCTTATAGCCACCACCATTCTCAGTCGTGACCACCGGAGGTTCACAATTATTAAAGGCATTCTCAGCAATACTGTACTATGTGACTGCTGGCTCCCCTATATATTGTAAAAGTGGCCATGATTCATATTCCAAAGGATCAATAGAGCATAAATATTCACAATTCTCAAGATTTATTTTAGGTAAACTTAACATTTACGAGTTTGAGGAACTAATTTCCCATCAAGATCAGTATTGTAGTACTTACATAGAGAGTACTGTAGAAATAAAACGTGAATCTAAACTGCAAAGTACTTTAAGGATCCGTGAATTTTGGTGGCCCAAACCCAAAAATGTAGTTTCTTCCTAATATTTTCACTTCTTCAAGCCCTAGAAATCTCAACTATAATCTTTTCTTACAAATAAAAGATTTTGGTGTAATTTGTAAAAATAAATAAATAAGTTTATGATCACAAATGTAATTATTCATTTTTAATTTTGCAATTTTTACTATTTATAACGGTAAAATTAATGGAATTGGACAGTGGGGGGTTTTTCGCACATAATATTTCAAATATGGGGTTTTCTGCAATTTTCAATAGGTATGGGGGTATATCACAATTTGAAACGTTTTTAGGGGATTTTCTATTATTAATCATAATTTAAACTATTCCAAACAAGCACTTGACAGAGAAATGGGAAAAAAATGGTAGAAGGAATTGATTTGAGCAAACATAATTAGGCTTTGTTTGGTGAGCATTAAAATTAATTTTTTAGTAGATTTTGATAAAAATTAATGAAATGTGTAGTTGAAAAATTGTATATTCCATGTAAATTGTTAATTTTGATTTATATTATCCTACTGATTTTAATCCATACCAAATATGGGCTCAGAGATAAGGACTGAACAATGCAAAACTCGACAAAAAAGTTGCCTTATTTCATCGAAAAGTGTCTAAACGTTGTCGTATAAAAGTCAAATTCAACCGTTACTTCAAGACCAAAAAGTTTCCTTATTTCATCCGGAAGTGTCTAAACGTTGTCGTTTAAAAGTCAAATTCAACCGTTAATTCAAAGACCAAAAAGTTTCCTTATTTCATCCGAGACCAAAAAGTTTCCTTATTTCATCCGGAAGTGNAGACAAAAAAGTTTCCTTATTTCATCCTGAAGTGTCTAAACATTGTCGTATAAAAGCCATAGCTGGGTACGAGGGCTTCATCCCCTCGAACAGATGCTAGTATACCTAATCGATCTTTTGAATTCGCAGCCTGAATTTCGGCAAATCATTCTTATGAATTTACAGATTACTTTCAATTTCTTGGTCTATCCTATTAAATCATACCATATTTTACTGATTGATACTGTTTCAAATTTCTACCAGTGAAAGTTTTGATAACTGAGAAGCCTTCTTCTTCTTCTTCTTCTTTTCCCCGGTAGAAGTGGTTGTGTTTTCTTGTAGCCATGGCTGTGACAGCAGGGTTTAGTGATACAGCAATTGAAAATGGGGATAATCCTAGGGGTAAAATTGGCCAGGCAAAAGTGAACAGGTACTGGCCGGGAAAAGCACCAGAGTGGGCGGTTGACAAGGATGAAGATGGGGACATTAGGATGGCAAGGGTTGCTGGGCTTGAAAAAGCGTTCCCGAGTCTTGAGGAGACTGATGTTATGCGGAAGGATGATCCGAGATTGCGTCGTTTGGCTAAGATTAGGATTGATAATCGTGAGGAGGTGAGGGAAGATCGTAGATGCATTAGGCAGGCTGAGATTGTTTCAACGATAGAGGAGGAAAGGAGGAGGGAAGAAGGATTAGATTTGGAGGATGAGGATGCATTGGAGCAGAGGAGAAGAAGGATTAGGGAGAAACTGTTGCAAAGTCAACAAGAGGAGGCAGCACTCATGCCGGAAGAAGAGGAGGAAGTTGAGGAAGAGGAGTCTGAGTACGAGACTGATTCTGAAGAAGAAACGACGGCCATTGTGATGGTGAAACTAGTTTTTGTTCCAAAATCTGAGAGAGATACAATTGCCGAACTTGAGAGACTCGAGGCAGAAGAGAGGGCACTTGAGGAAGCCGAGAAAAGGAGGATGAAAAAGAGGAGAGTAGAGACGAAGCAACTTGTGGTTGAAAAAATTAGGGAGGACCAGGAGATTCAGAGGAATATAGAGTCGGAGGCAATTATTGCTGACTTTGATACTGATGATGAGGTGAATGAGGCGGAGGAATATGAGGCTTGGAAGGCCAGAGAGATTGCTAGGATCAAGGGGGTTAGAGATGACAAAGAGGCAATGTTGAGGGAGAAGGAGGAGATTGAGAGGGTGAGAAACATGACAGAGGAAGAGAGGAGGGAGTGGGAGAGAAAGAATCCAAAGCCTACTGGACAATCCAAGCGAAAGCGGAGGTTCATGCAGAAATACTACCATAAGGGTCCTTTCTTCCAGACGAATCCTGATGATCATGCTGGAACTGCTAAGACACATAATATTTACTCTCGTGATTTCTCTGCTCCAACTGGGGAGGATAAGATGCAGGTTAGGCACTTTGGTCGTAGTCGAAGAGTAAAATGGACTAATCTTGACCATGAAGACACAACTGATGGGAATTACCCGTTAGTGCTTCTTACTTAAAATTCCCATTTGGTTCAGGAATCTTGTTAAGTACATAGTTGAAATACAGTATGCTCACAGTGGTAGATGCTATAAATAGACATTTGGATATCAGTTGTGCTATCAGTTGATTGTTTTGTATGCTCTGTAAACAACCTGTTTTTGAAATAAGAGCAATTCTAATGTTTAACATAATGAAATTCTACTTTTCTGAGTAAGTAATACCAATAGTTTTTTCACCATTGTCTTCCGTTTATGCTAATTTAGAAAAGAATGAAGTAAATTTGTCCATAAAGGAAATGAATAAATGTGCCTAACTATGTGTTAATTGTTTTGGGTGTTTAGTTATGAAGAGCGAGAGATCAAGAGAGCAACTCTGTAAATCTACACTTTAATTTTTTTATTCTGAAATAAAAACTGCAAATGTTATGTCTTGTTCAATGACCACATTTAATTAACTGGACATTTGCAAAGCGGGCATTTGGTTTGTTCGTGGCAGTTGGGACTTGAATTGGCCATTTTGAACGTCCAAAAATGGTTAACATACAAATAGAGTGTTGAATTTTTTATTTGGTTGAACAAATTTTGACTAAATTATATCTTATCATATCATGTGTATATAAATCATTATATACATGTAGCACAACCGGTTGGTTATTGTAGAGTTGTCAATTGTTAGCTTCACCTATAATGATTGAAATTGTTACATCAAGAATCCCGATTGACTATACTAGAGATATTGAACTCGTGTTTGTTTTTCTTTGAATCTTTGGTACACACCATGGGATAAGACGGATGGTATAATGAACAAGGTTTTAATATATTTCCCGTGTATCAAACATGTTATGAGTGTTTAAACGGTTTAAATTATAAAAGATTAAATAAAGATGGATAAGTGGATAGCACTTGAGGTTATAAACATGATCTGAACATAGGCTAAGCCGAGCTGTTGTTGCTGGAAGACTCCTGTGATTGACTGTTGCTATCGCAGTCTGAATTACTCCAAAATTTTACTTATTTGAGTACATTTGTCAGTTTAAGTGAGGCTCTTGTAGCTGAGAGACCATTGTGATTGGGCTGTTATCATCACATTCAGATATCGATTATATAGAATGGATCAACTTCATATAAACGATTTGCTAATTACTGATTTCTAGCCTTGCAGATGGACCTGCAATCACTGACGGAGCCAGGGGTGGGCTGTAGCCCACCCTTGCCCAAGCCCAGAAGCTGAAAAAAAAAAAAAATTGTTGAAGCCCAATTATTTTCCAGCCCACCCTTGCCCAAGCCCAAGCCCACCCTTTAAAAAAAAAATTAGCCTTCATCTAATGAAAGCCCAACCCAGATTAAACCCAATTAAACCCAAATTCCCAATCCAGACCCTACCCAACGCGAACCCTCCCTCTCTCTTCTCCTCTCTCGCTTCTTCTCTTCTCGCCCTCTGCTCTCTGCTCTCGCCTCTCACTCTCAGCCTCAGCCTCAGCCGTCGCCCCTCAGCCCTCAGCTTCCGTTCGTCCCTCAGCTTCCTCAAGCCGACAAGCCGCTGCTCTCTCGCTCTCTGCCGTCCGTGACGGAGTGTTGCAAGGTAATTTTTTTTCGATTTTTTTTACTGAATGTTGAATTTTTGAATTGTTGATACTTGATACGTACTGTCTGAGTGTCTGGAGGCTGGAGTTGTTGTTTGTTACTGAATTTTTTTGATTGGAGCTGGGAATAGTGTGGACCACCGATTTCAGGACCGGGTGGTGTGGAGTGTGGACTGTGGAGTGACTGGAGTTGTGGAATTGTTTGCTGAATTTACTGTCTTTGTGTAATTGTGTCAATTGTGTGTTTGAATTTGTGTGTGAGTGTGTCTCAATGCGGGATTGAATTTGTACCAAACCAAGTTGAATTTGTGATTTTGTGTGTTTGAATAATTGAATGTGCTTTAGCCTTACTGCCTGCCTTAATTGAATTTGGAAGTGTCTCAATTAGTCTGCATTGGAAAATTGGAAATTGATAGCACATATGATTCTAGTTCTAGTTTTTGAATTGAATTTGGAAGTGTTTGAGTCTCAATTAGGCATTTGCTTAGGAAATGTTAGTTTGGAATTTGGAAATTTAGCCAACCGCAATTTATGTAGGAATTTATAGGATATTAAAGTTTTTTTTTGACATTTATGCTCTTAGGTTTAATATGGAGGAAGATTGCCCTTCTTCCAAGAAATGAAGAATTTTGTTATCTTTCTTTTCAAAGAGCAACAAACATCAGGGTACTCCAATTCCTACGGCCTCCACTCCAAATCCAATTTCATCTCCTGAAGTTGAACGATCTTCATCTTCTAANCCCAGGAAAAAGAAAGCAAATATGTGAACATCCACTAAATGAACGCGATCAGATTAGGCGAGCCTATTTAAATGTTGGACCTTATCAACCGAAACTTTTGGACTATCAGAGTAAAGAATGTGGAAAGCAGAAACGTCGATTTCAGGAGCGTTGGTACAATCAGTTTCCTTGGTTGGAATATTCACCTTCAACACACAAAGCATATTGTTTTTATTGCTTCCTTTTCCTCAATGATAGTGCTCCATCTATTATTTCATCGTTGGTCACAGTTGGGTTTGACAGTTGGAAGAGGGTCAACCAAGGCAGTAAATGTGCATTCCTTATTCATGTTGGTACAACATCGTCATCGTATCATAATGGTTGTAAGAGAAGAGCTGAAGATCCAATGAAACCAACTCAACATATTGATAAGGTAATACAATCTGTATCGGCCGAGGAAAAACAGAAAAATTGTTTGCGTCTGAAGACCACTATAAGGTAATGCAATCTGTATCGGCTGAGGAAAAATAGAAAAATCGTTTGCGTCTGAAGACCACTATTCAGAGTGTTTTGTGGTTAGCACTTCAAGGTTGTTCCTTTAGAGGCCACGATGAATCTGAATCTTCTTTGAATCGTGGCAATTTCATTGAACTGGTGGATGCATTTGGAAAAATGAATGTGGAAGTAGGAAAGGTTGTTTTGGGTAATGCTCCTAAAAATGCTACATACACGTCTCCAGACATTCAAAAAGAGGTTTTAAACATTATGGCCAATAAAGTACGACAAAGAATTCGTGACGAAATTGGGGATGCAAAGTTCAGTATTCTTGTTGACGAAGCACGTGATGAATCTTCGACAGAACAAATGGCCATTGTCTTGAGGTTTGTGAGTAGTAGTGGAATTTTGACAGAACGTTTCTTTGCAATCAAAAGCGTTAGTGACACTACCTCATTAACTCTTAAGAATCAGATTTCTGATGTTCCTGTCCGTTTCAACTTTCAAGTGCAAAACATGAGATTGAGGTTTGTGAGTAGTACTGGAATTTTGACAGAACGTTTCTTTGCAATCAAAAGTGTTAGTGACACTACCTCATTAACTCTTAAGAATCAGATTTCTGATGTTCTTGTTTGTTTCAACCTTCAAGTGCAAAACATGAGAGGTCAAGGGTATGACGGTGCTAGTAATATGCGTGGTTCTTGGAATGGACTACAAGCATTATTCCTTAGAGATTGTCCATATGCATACTATGTCCATTGTTTTGCCCACCGTTTACAACTCACATTGGTTTCTGCAGCTAGGGATGTCTCGGATATTAATTCATTTTTTTCTCATTTGGACAATGTTATTAATATGATTACATCATCTCCTAAGCGTATCAATGAGTTGAAAAGTGCCCAAAGAAAAGAAATTGAGCATTTGTTGGAAATTGGAGAACGCCAGTCGGGAAGTGGGGCTAATCAGATTGGTAATTTGCAACGAGCCGGAGCTACTCGTTGGTCTTCTCATTACAACTCTGTAAAGAGCTTGATTGATATGTATGTTGCAACTTGCAAAGTGTTTGAGTATCTTAGTGATAATTCTCCAAATACAAGATCTCGGTCCGAAGTTGATGGTGTATACAAAACCATGACAACATTTACATTTGTATTTATCTTGCATTTAATGCGTAGAATTTTGGCAATTACTGATGTACTTTGTCAGGCTCTTCAGAAGAAAACTCAAGACATCTTAACTGCTATGAGATTTGTCCATACTACAAAAACTATCCTTCAAGCATTGAGAGAAGATGGTTGGGAAGAATTTCTTGAAGAAGTGAAACTATTTTGCTCAAAAAATGATGTACATATACCGGACTTTGATGGTTCTTACATGGTTGGTCGTTCTCGTGGTCGTGAGTATCCTAACGTTGAACATCATTACAACTTTGATATCTTCAATACAGCCATAGATTTTCAGANGATGATGATTTTCTTGCTGATTGTTTAACACTAAACATTGAACGAGAATTTAGTATTAATTTAGATCTAGATTCTATTATAGATGAATTTTATGTTATAAAACATCGTCGGTTACAATTGTAATATGTAACGTTATATTACAATTTTTCTAGTTATATATAAATTTCATTCGTACATTCAATTTTAAAAATTTTTGCCCCCCATACGGCACATTCCTGGCTCCGCCCCTGCCTGCAATGATGCTCTTCGGGCAAAGACAACGCAAAAATGGCTGGAATAGTGCACCCATAGCAAAAAGCAAGAAACTGAAGGATTGGGAGACTCATTGAACTTTCTAACTTCCAAAGGGTCTAGCCAATGCAGAACTTGGACATTATTAGAAGAATCCAGTTGTTCATTTCCACACACTAGTTCGGGTACGGTACAATACAATGGCAAATTTTAGTGTATGCGATAGTGGAGATACTATTTTAGCCGATGCACTCCATGTTAAAATGTACTGCGTTTTGTAGATATACTTTCTTTACGTGTATATCGTGTATTTTTTGACTGGCTTGCTGCCTATGTTTAGTGACAGAAAGTTTTGATTGGCAATGTGGATAGTTCAATTACCTATACAATTATTGCATTGTTTGACCTTCATTATTCCCCATTAAATTATAATTCATTTTTATCTCTCTTTTTATCAATCACATTTTTCAATAAAATAATATTATACGTAAACTCGAAAACTTTTCCTCTTTTTATACAATTATTTTTTCAAAATGATTATCCAAAAAATTACTATTCCTCTCATAATAATGTGGAATAATGGGGCCAGACGGGCACTATATTATGCATTGTAATTCTTGTAGTAGAGACGAGCTTGAAACAAGCTGCCCGTAGATTCACTTGTGCAAAGATGAAGTTGAGGGCATTGAATGACTTCACTCAAGGGTAGAAATTCTTGAGGTTACTAACATTATGTCACGATTTCAAGTGGGTTATCGAATTTCATTTTGTTGGATTCCTTAAATCTATATTTTGTTTCAATAAAGTTGCTCCATCAACGTCCATTAGTTAGCCTCTCGATTGAAACGAAAATATAAATATGATGATTAATTGTAATAAAATGAAGTTAAACGACTTTCTTGAAATCAAGTTATAGTTAGCCAGAAATTTTTATCCCTTTAACTCTGTTTTCTTTTTCTTGTTATGTGCACAAAGATACAATTCCTTACGATATTTAAATGGTAGTTAATAAAATGCACAAACATATTACCCCTTTTGGTAGAGATTCTAAGTTAAAATCAATTGTTAATTTTAACTATATAATTTGTGGGATCAACCTTTATAAAAAATTATTAAAAATCTTATTTTAATCCACATGGGCTTAACATGAAAGTACTTTTGATAGTTAACATAAAAATTTATTTATAAGTATATAAGGCTTGGATGAATACTATTATATTATTTTAAAAAATCAAAATAAGTAATTTATGCTCCTTTGGTTTAGTTAAAAATAAAAAATTTTAGTATATTTTGATAAAAATTAATGGAATTTGTCATTAAAAAAGTGTGGGTTCCATGTGTGATTAAAATTAATTAATGATTTTAACTCAAATTTTAATCTAATATTTTAATTGAACCAAATAGAGGCACTGCAGGTAGGGGTGGGCAAAAAAATCGATCAAACAGACCAAACCAAACCAACTCGGGTCGATTTAGATTGGTTTGAACCAAGAAATTGGTTTGTTCAGTTAATTTTAATCATGAAAAAAGTCGGGTCGAGTTGATTACGGTCTAAGCAATCAACCCATTAGGTAACCAACTCATCCCAATAATACATTTTTTTTATTTTTTTAAAATTCATATTTTTAACATAAAAAAAAATAATAAAAACATAAATATAAATATAAATCTTTCTCAAATAATTTGTTTACCATCTACGCGTATTCTATCAAAACTCCAGATTTCAATAGAAAAAAATCAGGAAAAATAATTGATATATATTATTGATACGCACTTACAAGATATATATATATACACAGTTTCGATTTCGATTTCGATTTCGGGTTCTCTCCAATTTTTTGGGGAAAGAATGTTTTGAAATAGTGATTTTTTCGAGATTGTGTGGTTAAAAAATAAAGAAAAATTTTTAATTTATTTTTAAAATTATTTTATGGAAGAATATGTAGGTGAAAATGACATTTTGGAAAAACGGAGTTTATTATTCTTATTCATTTGTGAATAATTAAAACAAAATTATTTATTAATAATTAAACATTAAATATTAAGTTTGCAAGAACTCAATTCAGCGGGTCTTTATATTCCTTTCGAGTCAGTTGCTCTCTGCATCTGAAGGTGAAGAAGAAAAATAATTAGGGTTTTGTTAATTGATTATTTATTCGTTGATTTTATTGATTAAGCCATGGGTTCAAATCGAGACTTATCCAATTATCGGAGGTTCTTACACCTTCGAGAACAACATTACCTGTGGGGTCATACACAATGCACCTTTTCTGGGCAAAGCTAACTTCAAAATCAGAATCACAAATTTGACTGATGGTCAACAAATTAGACTTTAACCCTTTTACATAAAGCACATCAGATATGGTAGGTAGTCCAGCAATTTTAACAGTACATTTTCCTTAGATCGGTGCAGTAGCTCCATCTCCAAACGTAACTACACCGCCATTCCACTCATCTAGAGAAGAGAGTAAGGCCTTGTCCCCACACATATGCCTAGAACAAGTACTATCAAGGTACCATATAGAGACATTTTGGGCCTTGAGTGCAACGTGGGCAACATAATAGTTCCCTGATCATTTGACCTAGATACATCAATCTTCTTGACCCAAACCATCTCAATTTCTTTATGAGATTCTATGGTAGCTATATATGCGAAGGTCATGAGCCTTTGATTATATTCTTTACCAGATGTATCACTCTAAGCACTAGAATTTGTTTCATCATCACTTAATGTTACAGCTAAAGCCTTACGTCTGCCATTGTCCGAACTCTTTTTCAAGTTAGGACATTGATTCCTATAGTGATTGGAGCCCTGACACTCATTGCATCTAAAAAATATTCACGATTTGATAGAGTCTTGACGTCTAACAGAACACCCCACAAGAAATTTTCACTATGGATTAAATAATATATTCTTCCCTTTCAAATTGCGAGGGAAAAATCCTAAACGATTAGACGTAATTTCAACGGCCATTTCACATCAAATAGAATGGACACGCCTCTTTGGCGCGAGACAGCAATAGAAAAAAAGAATTTCTTGAAAACTTGAACGCACAAATTAAAGAACAGTAAAACCAAAATATATTCAAATTTCGTTTCTGGGATTCTTAAACGCTCTGCGATAATGGATGAAAACAGCAATCGGAAACTTCAATCTGATTGGTACTCTCGAACTCGCCTCCACAACAATCCTGTGGAGTATGATTTTCCAGTACGTAATACTGAAAATTTTCTTGATTTTCTGAAGGCATTTTTTTATTTCTCCTTGGATTGTTGATTAATTTTATTTTATTTTTTTATTTTTTGTTATTTTTTTGAAGGGAGATAGATTTATACCGGATAGGAGCCTGATGGATCTTGATCAAGCCCACAGTTTGTTAACAACTCCGACTCAAAAACCCAGCAAACCCAAGTTTAAAGTCAGTCGATTATTTTTTATTTTGATTTCTTGAGTTTTCTATTTGGAACCCCTTTTTTCTTGAATTATTTTTGTGGGGGTTTTGTGTTCTTGGAGGTTTGATTGCCGTTCAATAAAGGATGTATATATAATGTGTAATAAAATTATAAACGATGCTTTATATCAGGGCCTTGGGGTTTTCTTTGATCTTGTTTAGAGATATTTTAATCATTATTGAGAATAGGGATTTCTGATATGGGGATTTTTCTTGTATGGATTACATGGTAGGTTGAATATAGAAGAAAGCTAGAAAATAATCTGAAGTTGGATGTTGAAGGAAGGCCATTTCAAATGCTGGTTTTTAGGGGTAGCCCAAAATCGAGTAGAAAATCAAACCGGCTAATAGACGAGATGCAACGGAGTAATTAGGAGATCTTGACTCATAAGCCATGTCGACAATTCCCAAAGGTAAAAGATTTGTAGAATATACATTTGGCTTTCCTTTGTAATTATAATTTTTTCTCTGTCATATGCAACGTCTAAAAAAATTTTGGTCTGCTTTCGTTTGATTTTGGTAAGTTGATGGAGTCAGTTCTTGTTTGGTAAAGCAAAATTTGAAATAAGACACTGAATTGTTGGATTGTACTCCTCCCCTCGACGACCTAAAGTTTCTACAGTACAAAGGATTTATTAGGGAGCCATTTTCTTGTAAGATATAAACTGAGAGGCATGAGAAGATGTTGTGTCATTCTTCTCTATTTTAGTGAAAATGTTAAAATTTGCAGCATCGAGTAAACATAGATCTCTTATTGATGAACCACTATGTTTCTGTGTGTGCTTTATCATTTCTGGTTGTTTTCTGTTTATTATTGCTCTAAGAGGTAGGACTAGTGCTTAAATCCATAACTTGAATAACATTTGGCATACATGAGGCTGCTTCATAGATAACTTAGATCCTAGAATGTTAAATGCACAGTTCTAATCCTGGTATGCTATGTTTCGTAGGTCTTGTCAACAAAAGTATTCACATACAACATGGAAATCGCCATTGCGAATAATATTTGGCAAGAAGAAAATGCATTTAGAAACATAAAAGATATCTATAAAGAGATCAAGCAGACTTATTTGTTAATTACAATGTTTTAATAATCTCTTAAATGTCCTCATGGTAGACTCTTCGCAGAGAGAATCTTGTATTTCGGATGCACCTAATATCGTGAACCATTTCTACCTGAACATCATGGACTGGGGGAAAGCCAACTTTCTTGCAATTGCTTTGGGCTCAAAATTATACTTGTGGAATGCTGATAATCGAAAAACTGAATTATTGTCAGAAGTGGGCAATGGTGACGATTATCCTACTGGTGTAGCCTGGTTGGAAGATGCCCAAACAGTAGCAGCTGGATACCAGTGCTCGAAAATATATCTTTGGGATGCCGAGACCCTAAAGATTGTATGACCTTTCAGTCTGACATTTTACATGATCTGATTTGTTAGAGAATGTTTGTCTAGGCTTAAAAAGAAGTAAACAAGTTACTTTTGTTTCAAAAAAACTCGTTTGCATATGTTAATTATATTCTCAATTTAAATAAAATAAAGTTATTCATTTCATTATAAGGGAACATTTTAAGCTTAGCCAAACATGGTCAAATCATTCTTTCATACAAGTCATAAACTCTTTATACAGGTTAGATGCCTTACAGGGCATCAGAATAGGGTGGGTTCTGTTGCATGGAATGGCCAGATTTTGACTTCTGAAAGCAGTGATAATGCTATCATGAATCACGATCATTTCTCGCTACTATAATCCAAATAGTAAACATAAGAGTGTACCATTTATTCCTGAAATTTTTGATTCACAGTGAGAGCAAGGAACAGTTTGACGTGATGTATGGTAGTGCTCAAATAGTAAACATAAGAGTGTACCATTTATTCCTGGAATTTTTGTTTCACAGTGAGAGCAGGGAACAGTTTGACGTGTTGTATGGAAGTGCACACTAATGAAGTTTGCGGTTTGAAATGGTCGAACACAGGAAACAGACTAGCGAGTGGAGGTAATGACAACCTCATTCACATATGGGATGCACGCAAGATGGTTGCCATGCAATACATGTATCGCCTCA